AATCTTGTGAAATATCATTTTAATCACTTGATAATACTGGTTTAATCTAGTGAAATATCATTTTAATCACTTGATAATACTGGTTTAATCTAGTAAAATATAATTACTAATCGCTTGATAATACTGGTTTAATCTAGTGAAATATCATTTTAATCACTTGATAATACTGGTTTAATCTAGTGAAATATCATTTTAATCACTTGATAATACTGGTTTAATCTAGTAAAATATAATTTTAATCACTTGATAATACTGGTTTAATCTAGTAAAATATAATTACTAATCACTTGATAATACTGGTTTAATCTAGTAAAGTATAATTACTAATCACTTGATAATACTGGTTTAATCTAGTAAAGTATAATTACTAATAACTTGATAAGCTAAGTTATTGTAGTGAAAAAATAAAATTATTTGTTAGTATTAAAAAAGCACTGTTTACGAAATTGTCCTAAATTATCATCAGTATACTCGTATTTTGGCTGTAAATGACATTGCCATAATTAACACCCGAGTAGTAAGTAACCGATAAGCTTTCCACTTTCAGTGTTCATTTCGAGTGTGTACTCTATTAAACTCTGGTTTATGTATATCATGTTTCGTATATTCTGGTTGCTTACTTTGACAGGGTTCTGATAACGGAAGCTTAGATATCTTTACAAGTATTTCTTTGGTGTTCGTGCTTTTAAGATTTATTTTCTGGCTCTCAGTTAATACAGCATTAGTTTTGCTTATATCAGCGAAACTTTTCAGCTTCATCTGAATTTTCCGCGAATGCTTGAGCCTCAGTTGAATTGATCGGATTAATGGGAGCTGGAAACCCCTTTGAGTGCTTTTTCCAATTTTTGCTTTTGTCTTGGGAATAGAAATGATGTATTTTATAGAAACAAAGCATGTTTTCTTTCTCGCCTACTTCGTATCGAACCCGGGTAAATCTCCCGAAAAAAGTGACAGTGAGGTATGAATTTACTGAAGGCCAAAAAAAAAAAAAGTCTCGAAAAAGAAATCAGTACATAGAATTGGCAATACAATGTTGATATGGAAGATATATATATTACACAAGGTTAAACAACGTTTGAAAACCATCCAAAGATATGATTAAAAACATTAAGATATTTTATACAGAGATCGAAATAACTGTGTTATAACAATACATACTGAAAGAAAAAGTAACATAATCATTGAGCTTTAAACGTGCATTATTCACTAAAGTTACTTAAATTATATTAGACGTCCCCTGGTGGGACAGCGGTAAGTTTAAGGACTTACAATGCTAAGATCCGGGGTTCGATTCCTCGCGCTGGACACAGCAGATAGCCCAATGTGGCTTTGCTCTAAAACAAACACACAAACTACAGTAGGAGTTATTAGAAAAAAGGTCCTCATGTGGGACAGTGATAAGTCTACAGACTTAAAACGCTAAGATCCGGGGTTCGATTCCTCGCGATGGACACAGCAGATAGCCCAATGTGGCTTTGCTCTAAAACAAACACACAAACTACAGTAGGAGTTATTAGAAAAAAGGTCCTCATGTGGGACAGTGATAAGTCTACAGACTTAAAACGCTAAAATCCGAGGTTAGATTCCCAGCGGGCCTGGCATGGTTAGGTGGTTAGAACGCTTAACTCGCAATCTGCGAATCGCAGGTTCGAATCCCCGTCCCACCAAACATGCTCGCCCTTTCAGCCGTGGGGGCGTTATAATATGACGGTCAATCCCACTATTCGTTAGTAAAAGAGTAGTTGGCGGTGGGTGGTGATGACTAGCTGCCTTCCCTCTGGTCTTCCAATGATAAATTAGGTACGAAATTCAAAACAAACCAAACGGTGGCCACAGCAGACAGCCCAGTGTGGCTTTGTTCTAAGACAACGAAACGAAATTATAAAAAAAAACGTAAATTAAGGAAAACTGGCGCGATATAAAGTTTACGTAACTGATATTAAAACATTTTAATCATTGATTCACAAAACTCAACCCTTGATGTAATAAAGTGGTCTATTCAAGTTTATTTATCTAACAACTAATTTCTGACAGCAGAAGAAACCACCCTTTATTCGAATCATCCTCGATAAGCATAAAACGATGTTAAATTGAAAGGTACTTACTCCATTATTACCAGAACAGCAACAATAAAACAATTTTCTCGTGACTTTTAGTAGGAATATTTATAAAAACGTGTCGTGCTTTATCTCATTTCTCAATTAGTTTTATCCGTTTTCGTATTCTTATCACTGTATCATTGCTTCTTTGAATTACTAATGGATCTTTTCTTTTATTCTACTAACATTTATATGACCGAATGAAAAGACTTTCAGCACGTGCAATTTAATGGTTACTGCCATCATCTAGGGTTAAGAAACACATAAGCTGAGACATAGGAGTTATCTGTTAAATATTCTCTAAAGAACAAAGCTGTTCCGGGCATATTTTCGTGAATAAAACTAATTATCTTATTTCAAAATGGTTGGAAGTTTTCTTCGTATTTCCTACAGAGCCGCCCAAGAAGCCTGTGATTAAAGACCACAACGGAAAGATACTGAGGAGTCTAATTGGGCCATATAATGAAGGACACTCTTTGTTTATTTATTGTGATGTCGTTGGAGGTAAAGCGGCTTATTTTGCTATTCTCGTTCACAAATCACTTTTGTAATTACAATTGTAAAAATTTGATTTTTATTTAATCGATATATATATTATCATTTCTTTATTGTCTTATTCTTTCCGAAGAAATCTATATGTACGTAGAAATTTTAAATTGGTTTTTATATTTTATGACAAAAATTACCTGAAAAATTGTGACTGTTTACATATTCTTTAGGCTTAAGAATCTATAAGTTATTTATATTTCATTGCCCTCTCCCCCAATAGCTCAGCGGTAAAGTCTGAAGGCTTATAACGTTAAAAATTAGGTTTCGATGCTCGTAGTGGGCACAGCACAGGTAGCTAATTGTGTAGCTTTGTGTTTAACAAATAACAGACATATTTCACTTTTTAGACTAGAAAAACAATACGATAAATTGTGCATTTATGTTTTGTTTCTTATTTTTAGGTTTCTTTGTTTATTTGGTGCAGGATTAGTTTGAACATTAAGTTTTCAAATTCTTTTTATGAGAATGATTTACGTTTAAATTACATTGACCAAAGTGCTTATTAAAACAATTAACCCACTTTTCTAAGTCATTGATGTTTCATACAACACCTTTCAATTACAGTGCCAACTAGGCTTAACTTGGTTTAGCTTTGTCCTATATTACAATGTCAACTAGGCTTAGCCTTTTTCTGTAAATACAATTTTAACTGCCCCCCGCCCTAATGGCACAGCGGTATGTCTGCGGACTTAAAACCCTAGAAACCGGTTTTCGATACCCGTGGTAGGAATAGCACAGATAGCCCATTGTGTGGTTTTGTGCTTAAACTACAAAACATTTCAACTAGGCTTAGGTTTCATTTATAAACGTAGTGTCAACGTGGCTACGTTTTGTCCTGTAAATATAATGCCAACTAGGCTTAGGTCTCTCTTAGCTCTGTTATTCCACGGATTACTTTTTTTTAAATGCACATTTTCCCTGCATTTACCTGTATTTAACTGTATTTAAGTAAGATTCATATTTCTTTTTAATTTAGGTATTAATGTCATATACGTCCAAGCCACTTAATGTTTCTCTGCATAATTGTTATTGTCATCCGATAGGTGTTCCCTCACCAAACGTCACGTGGTGGAGAGAATCCGTTCTTCTTGATGATACATTCAACATCACGGAGAAAGGAACCATTACTAACGAACTGATGATTCCAGCCTTACAGAGACACGACCTAATGGCGGCTTTCAGTTGCCGAGCTTCCAATTACGACCAAATTTCGCCCTTGTCTTCGACTGTTACGGTGGACATGAATTGTGAGTACTTACCGTGACCTTTGACACGCGGACTTATTCGATGGGTAAAGTTCACGAGATGATTACAAATTCACATCGTATTACAGTATAATCTCTAGTAATGCGAATCAAGCTATAACCCAATATTACCAAGCCACCTTAAGGCTTAGCGGGAAAAACTGAATGCTAAAAACCGTGTTTCGATACCTGTGGTGGGCATAGCACAGATAACCTATTGTGTAGCTTTCCGCTTAACAACAAGCAAATAATAACAGAAAATTAGAAGTAACGACAAACTAATTAGATTCAACTGATCTTATAGATCTTAAAGCTGTGACGAAAGATAATTACAAATATACAAAATAACAAAAAACTTTATAGAAACGTCCATATAGCGAGCTAATAACAGTCTGTTTCATTAAGTTCTTATGAAATAAACATACATATATTATATCTATTCATATCATACTTCTAGAATCTAGATAACAACAGTTAATCATTACCTTAATTTTATTCCAAATAGAAAAGTTCATTTTTAGGAAATCAACCGACTTTCTTTTCGCTAGATAATATAGATCTTCGAACACCGAAACGTTGTTTTAAAATAATGCTACTTATTTTTTAATTCTTACATTAACATTTGATGTCTGCGTGTTTGTAGACAAGTGCCATTATATTAGAAGTACCTCAATTAAATATCAGCGTATCACGTAGCTAAGTTACATCTATAAAGGGATAACACTACTTAATCATGTTGCTAAGTTACATCTATGAAGGGATAACACTACTAAATCATGTTGCTAAGTTACATCTATGAAGGGATAACACTACTAAATCATGTTGCTAAGTTACATCTATGAAGAGATAACACTATTAAATCATGTTGCTAAGTTACATCTATGAAGAGATAACACTACTAAATCATGTTGCTAAGTTACATCTATGAAGAGATGACACTACTAAATCATGTTGCTAAGTTACATCTATGAAGGGATAACACTACTAAATCATGTTGCTAAGTTACATCTATGAAGAGATGACACTACTAAATCATGTTGCTAAGTTACATCTATGAAGGGATAACACTACTAAATCATGTTGCTAAGTTACATCTATGAAGGGATAACACTACTAAATCATGTTGCTAAGTTGCATCTATGAAGGGATAACACTACTAAATCATGTTGCTAAGTT